AAAAAAAAAAAAAGAAAAAAAAGTATCTTTCTGCTTCCTCCCATTTGAATCGAAGTCTGCCATGGGCTTTGCGTGCGAGGCTCTGGCGGCCGCGCCCTGCGGTGCCACCCTAAGGGCACTGGACCTACGGGGGCTGTCGCAGGCGCTTGGGGATCAGGGCGGGCCGACAGAAGAGAAACCTCCCACCTATAGTCCCATTGTAGTAAAATCCTTAATATAGAATTGGTTAAACCAAAAAAAGGAACTACAATGGAGACTATATAGGCAGAAGATGAGTCCGTGGTTGAGATTCAGAACGGCTTCCTGTCTCCTTGTTGCCCGTGATAGGCAGCACCGTACGGAGACGGCAAGTCCGTAGCCTGGCGCGGGTCAGGTGTTCCAGGGTAATTCGTGCTGAATCATTTGGGCTTCAAGTTTCTTTGTTGTGATGGCTTTAGTGAGGTTTTAGAGTGAGCCCAGGGGGCCAAAGAGGAGTACTCATTTAGCCACAATCAAAACTCCATGCCGGTTCTTGATGCAATGCGAAAGCTTGGACGTCATTGCTTGGAATCATGTATCAAGTTGTAGCGCTGAGGGGCCCGGTCGAGTTTACCATTCCCTTCGTGAATATGAGGTCCGGGCGATTTTCCCGCAGGTGGTGGAGACAGAGCTGCATCACTAAGTCTGTGGTGGTCAAGTGTCTGGGACAGAACGACGTCACATGCACCACTCACGGCGTGAACTCATTGTGAGTGCGTGGAGGCTCCTATCAATTTCGCATCCAAGGTCCGTCTGCAGTGCTGCGGCTTGTGGGCTCGCACGCAAAGCAAAAAACTGAGAAAAGGTCACGGGCATCAGGCCGCACATGCTTGGACTACTTGCACATTTAAGGACGAGCACTGCAATGGAAACAACACTTGTGCGCAAAGCCGGACAAAGCTCCAGTCTCATTTGGGACTTTCCGAAAATAAGGGGTACCTTATTTTGGGGTTCTTATAATAAGGATCCTACTATTTAGGGTACTATATTAGGGTCCCCTATTTTCGGAAACCCCCATTTATGTCCTTGCACATGCCAGGTTGGTGGGAAGCCAAAGGCGAAACGCCTTCTTAAGCTGCCGGCGCAAGATTGCGATAGTATGTCTGGAGCCCAGACCCTGCCTAAAACAAATATCTGCAGTAGCTTCGATGGCGCTTCTTATTGCAACTGCCGACAGCCCGGCAGCGCACAGCTGCTTGCAAACTCCTAATGTGGTGGTTAATTATGTGGCCATACGTCGCCTTTATTTTTGCGTGCAGGGCAACCGTGTGCCCACGGTATGTGCGCTCCTTTCCCGGAGGTCTATCCCACAAGCCAGGAACATCCAGGGACCCTTTGCGGTTTGCTGGGGCAGTGGGGCAGAGTCCCGTTGAAACGAGTGTCTCGAAGCTGCCTGTTGGAAGTGCCATCAGGTGCAGTCTTTGGAATGCTCACCACGGCCTCTCGATTCCAGTGAAGCAGATGAGCCGTGACAAGCATGGCCACAAGAAGGTGAAGACGAACTGAAGAACCAGGACCTTGTCAGAAGAGCGAAGAATGAGACCCTTCCGGACATGCCCAGCCTGCTGCTCAAAATATGTAGGACGCTCAAAACGCTCAGGGATTTCGGAAAGATACTTCTTGGTGGAACATGTGGAACCGCCAACAGGACGGCAGATACAGTCTCATGCACAGCAGAAGCATCATCGCGCAACTGGATGTGCTGCTCCTTCTGTGATGAAAAGATGCACGAGTTTGTGGCGTTTGCACATGGCATTTGTTGGGATTCGAAGTCAGGTTCGGCGTTTTCTTGCCAGTATCACATCAGAATCGTGTTAAAACCACTTGCGTGACCTCTCAACATGCTCGTAGTTCTCTGCGGCCCCACACCCCGCCGAGCTCCGCGCACCTCCCCGCACCCCACCCACGCCCCCCAGACCAAAAGAACACAACGAAGGCAAACACATGCGTCAAAAAAAACTCCACCCTTATCAAGACAACGAAGTTGTTTTCATTCCTCGAGCTTTGAGCGTTTCCTTTCCGATATGTAAAAGCATCGGTCGCACTGGGCATGCAAGCCATGGGAACAGCAAATGCAGCAAATGCCAAAGAATCCCTTCCAATGACGAGAATGAAGGCCTGCACAACTTAAACGTTTTGCCTTACCGCAGAGAGATCTTGAAGACATCCAAGCTCCATGGACAAAGCAAGACCAATGGCTGTGCAAAATCGCTGCATGCCATGTTAGGATCGATTTGCACCTGTCGGGTTCTCATAGTTCAAGTCAGTTTGACTGAACTTTAGATGGCTGAACACGGGAACTTGTAACATATATGCTTGAGATTTGAACATGAACTTGGGCCCTTACTATCGTTCAACCTCAAGCGCCTGTGAGTGAAAGTCATAAAAGCCTCTTTAAAGTCTTTCCGCTTCTTCTACGCAGCCCCGACGCAAGATTATCGAAAGCAATAATAGCAAAGTGGCAGAGAGCAGCAGCAATCCGCTGGATATTGGGCCTCGCCAGGAGCAGGGCTGCAGGGTAGCTACAACTAGTCAGGGAGCCTGACTGCCCAGTAGTCATGATCAGCAATGGCGACGAGTTATGGGTCGACCTGCTTCATAAATCAAGATTAAGTGCGACGTTTGCGAAAACCGAACCTTGCACTTTCAGACTTTCAGATTCGTGGCTGCCCTCACAATAATTTGCCTGTTGCAGCCGATGGCGACCCCCATCCCGAAGGTGCTCGCAGGCATACTGCCATGCGGTGTTAATGTACCTGTACGCATTATCACTGCTGTGTTCCAGCGTTCTGAAACAAGAATCAGTCACTGTCGAACTTAAGAAATGCATACAGCTATTCCAGAACTTTATCCGCCACTGGTGTAACGAAGGCCTGGCAATCTTACGGCGATGTGAGTATCGGGTAGAAGAGCCTCAAATTTCCAGCTACTTCCTGGAAGACCTTTACAGTGTCCCGTCCCGTTTCCGGCGCAGATAGGTGTGATTGAAGAAGCATTATCTGGCCATGGGCCGCGCTCGTTGTCCAGCTGCGTGGCTTCTGCTTGCGCCGCAACTTTGACAAGACGAGCTGGGGTCAAACCTCAGGACGCAGGATTTTTTCGCTAGCTTAGTTCGCATCTTGGGTCAAAACCCAGCTTGCCCTGGCAGTCTCTGACGTTATAGAATTGTGTGGATTATTGCCTGCCGTGTGGGAGAGTGAGAGTCGAAACCCTAGGCCTTGCATTGAAAGTTTGATCATCGGATCATCATCTTTCAGGGCCGTCTTCCGGAATGAAGTGACCTGGCTGACGCCCCGACCATCTTTCAGCGCAGGCGCCGGGGCAATCTTGCTTCGTTGAGGTCCCATGTCCTGAAGCGAGCTGGATGGCTTAATTCTTCTTGATTTGCAGCAATTGCAAAAGGAAGGTGCAGCTACAGAGTGGGCTGCTTGCATCATGCAGTCACGTCTCCACACCCGGCCTGGCCTCGAAGTCTTTGCGCGCCAGGCCATCTCACGCCTGCGCGCCAACTGCGCAGTCCGCCGGGTGGCATGTTGCAACGCTTGCCACGGGGCAGTGGTCCCTCACCTGTCTCTGAGTGAGAAGAAGATCGTGTTTGCTCACGGGAAACAGAGGACTTGTTCTACGCCCAGCAAAAAGCATGCTGTTCTAACGTTCAGTGCATGTCCAGTGCATGTTCATGCTCGAGGTGTTTGTCGCGAATTATTTTTCAGCTACATTTAGCTACAGTTTGTAGTGAGGCAATGGCACTGGCGAGTCCAGCCGGCGCGGTGCACTGGCTGAGTGGGCACAGGGTGCGCTGCAGTCTGCAGGCGCGCCGTCTTGAGGACACGAGGCGTCCGCAGTCTGGCAGCACCGTCTTGAGGACGCCTGCGTCATTCTGTTTCCGGGGCGTGATGCTGTGATACACTCACAAACACCGCCGAAGCCTGTTTTTGAGGCACCGTGGCGGCTGCTGCTGTAGCTTTCTACACCGGTGCGAAGGCGTACAGAACCCTCGGCTGCTCCACACAGTCGGATGAGATTCGAAGAGCATGTGGGCTGCGCATGCATGTTTGGTCCGGCAATAGCAGCAGAAGCTATTCCTGAACGCAGACTGATAGCGCTCGGCTTCTTGCAACCGCCGATGCGCAGCGGGCTAGCCGCTAGCCTTTACACTTGCGAGCAAGTCCAAACTAAGCAGAACACAGACCCTCCGAAATCCGGCGTTGGATGCGCGCACGGGCTAGCAACAAACAGTCTGCTTCAGGTGGCAGTCTTTGGCTCTCCTCGTCTGCCGGAGCTCCAAGGAAAGGGTCCTGAACTCTGTTTATGACATGGTACCATGACATACCACGATAGTTCCCGAATGCCCAGTGTCCGGGTTAGGAGCCCGACCACAAATCGACGGACTCATACCCAGGATCGCAGCAATAAGTACGAACAGTAGCGGCACCAGCAGTGTTCGCAAAAGCCAGACTCATCGTACCTTCAGTCTCGTTTGTCTGCTGGCAGGACCCTTCAAAGATGTTGGCTCATCCCTGGATCGCTTTGCTGGCCTGCGCTGCCGAGTGCTGCCACATGGCATACACATATATAGAGTCCACAGTCCAACAGCCAACATGTCTACTAATTACCGAGGGCCTTTCCGCAGAGTGTTCCTTTTGCGATGATTTTCCAAAGTATACTTTCCTGGCAGGAGAACAGTTCCATCTTTGGACTTAGGTATCCCGCGCAGCGTGGGAGCAAGGAGGCGCCATACCTCTCTGAAGGCCAGGCGACCTCCGCAGCTGAGTTGCAGTTTTCTATACCTGGCTCTAGCAGCCTGAACGAAAGTAGCCCGTAGCCCCAGACAGAAGTTGTACATGGCTTCTTGTAAGCACTTTGCTCTCCCGGTATCTCTGCTGTCTTACCATGGAGAGTCCAGCTGCAGCAACTTCCGCAGATGTGCCCAGGATGCCATGGCTCGGCTGGTCTTCTTCCCCGGTTTTCTGCTGGAGCACCTGGGCTCCGCCTCCTCCGGGTGCTGGGAGGAGCGCACAGTGTTTCGGGGGGCTCCGTGTGAACTTTATGCCTGGTTTCATGCCTGGTGCACCTAGCTTGCAAAAGGGCGGGTGTACACAATCGACCTAAACAGGGCGGCTCAAGCAAGCCAAGCAAAAAAAGCATGCTGCTCATGCACAACCACGAAGCCCAACTGTTCCACTGTCAGCGGAGTGAGTGGCGGCCTGTCGTGGCGGGCCTCTGTGAGGATGCTGCTCCTCTGTCATCCGAGCGTTTCCCCATCCTCGTCTACTCCCACGGCCAGGGAGGTGCCTTGAGGGTGCATTCGATGACAGCTTTTGTCCGCAGGTGAGGCCTTTTCGAGCCTAAAAGCTGGGGGCTGGATCTCAAGGGGCGTTTATGCGACTGACACAGTGATTTCCCTCTCCTCTCCCAGCTGCAGGAAACATGGACATGGGCACCTACTTCCTTAGGCAGGCTTCGTTTGCTGTCGTCCCGCTTCTGTGAGATGGCATGCCGCAGTCTTCACACGCGCCTACAAGTGCGAGACTCGATTCGGTATTCATCCCTTTGTCACTTGGTCTGTTGAAGCTGACAGGCAGATCGCGAGCTACGGGTTGATGCTGAGCTGTGAAGTGCAATCTGTACGCTGTGCTTTTAAATGTGCATCGAGAGGCATCTTTGTGCCGTAACTAGTTGCTAGCGAAGTTTCGGCACGATTCGAGGATCGTCGTCTCCGTGGAGCATCAGGACATTCACTGCCGCCAGAAGAGATTCGGGCGAGCACGGTCGTTCTGAGGATGGGTCAGCGTCTACTGGTGACACCTCCAATCCTCGCCCTTTCACCTTGATGCTTGGCCCGCAGCAGGCTGCGTCTGATGTTGTTGCCATGGAGCTTGCGGCTACTGGCACACGCTCTGCACTTCGTGACTCCCGCAAAGGACGCGGGGCCAACTTGGCGTGCGGTTTCGTTCTCAAGAGCTCGTGCAGGCACGAACCTCGATGTTTCGAATGGTCGCCGTCTTCGTGTCGGTGACGCACCTTTCCGTCCGTGGTGCTGCTATCGCTCCGACCAAGCTTTCATCGAGTGCTTGTGCACAAGATAGCTGCTTGCATCACTCAGAAATTGCCACACTAGTTCAGCAATGTTGTTTGGCGGCCGTTCCTTGAAGGTCGCTAAACACCGCTGTGCGCACTGGAGAGTTCTTTGAGCCTTTTTGGCAGGTGGCCCGAGCACTGCAAGCGCCTGGGGAGGTCCAGCGCTACGGGGGCGACCCGGCGCGGATCTTCGTTGGCGGGCACAGTTGCTTGGCCGTCAAACTCAAAGCAAAATGCCCTGCATAGCTGCTTGATGATGCCCTGACTCTGACTCTGCCACTGAGGTTATGGCGGCCCCACAGCCATCCTCTCAGCTTATGCTGAGCCGACCCTTTTCCAAGGCTTGGTGGCTCGGTCGCAGGGTCTCCGGGTTGACACGCTTGCTCGAATTGCGAGCTCTCGGACTAGGCCACGTTGAACTATTGCAACATGTGCTGTCAAACTTCTGACCGCTGCTACGAACTAGCATCTACCGTGATGAGGTGTTGTAGCTGGCAGGTGGGGATCGGTGTGCCGGCACTTGACACTGGCTCAGGTGCTCCATGACCCTGCGCTGAGCTCGGAGATGCCCAAGTTGCAGCAACCGGTGCCGTGAAAGCACCAGTTGGGGGCGGGGCTCTGAATAAGGGCCCATTGAGAAGAGGCTTTTATCTAAGCCTTCATACGAAACAAACCTTCATACAGTCAGTCTGCAGTAGACCCTTCATATATGACACCTTTCAGTGCCTCGTCAGCCGCAGTGAGGATGTATGACCCCCTGCCGAGCAACAGTTGGCACTTGACCGATTGCTGGAAACTGTGTGCTGACCGGTCAGTCGTCGGAGAGGTATTTTCCATCGTCGGTGACGAGTATGCTGGCATAGCCAATCTGGTGTACCATGGATGCAGCTGGCCACATTCGACCCCCCGCATCAGACTTGCCTCGGAGCCCAGGAGCCAGGTGCTCAAAGTTTCCAAGCCAGACGAGTCCCAGGCACGAGCAGACGGTACGGCTCGTACAGCTTGCAGCGATGACCTTCGAAGCATTTCAAGATGTTTTCCCATTGATCCCTTTTCAAGCAGTCACACAACCGTTTGCGTCGCTGTAGCAGCTGCAACTGTCACGGTCGAGGCTGCCCGTCCGTGGGTTGGGGCTTGGCACTTCACGGGAATCAGCGGCTTGGCAACAGCGACAAAGCAGGGTCGGGAAAAGAATTTGGAGTTTTGCAAAGCTTCCTGCATCTTCATCTCTTGACATTTGAGCCTTTCCGAGCGATCTACATGGAGACCCAATCATACTCCACCCAGCGAGGTCATGGGAACTTTGTCGATGCGCCGTTGTGGGCTACGTCCTTAGGAGTCGTGTGGAGTTTCTGCCGAAGAGTTCGGCTGTGAGAGGAGATTCAGAAGAGAACTGTGTGCTTTGGTGCTGTGTGCGTTTGCTAGGCGCCGCTTTTCATCATGCAGCTTCTGCGAATAATTCTGATTCCGGCGGCTGGGCCGTTCGAGCCGGCGGAGGCACACGTCGAGTCTTGAACTGATTGCCGCGAGGTGCAGTGACTCGTTCAGCAGCGGGGCTTCGCGCACGCTAGAATTCTTCGGAAACTGTGTGCACTCAACACCTCGCTGCTCAACCACTGGTGAAGCCATTGCCCGACCAACCTGCATCCAACTTCTCCGGGTTTAGTGACTTAGAGCATGTTTGCACCAGGTTTTTTTTCAGTGTGCATGCTGATGCTTGAATCAGACAAATCGTTTATAGCGCAAGGATTTAGCTTACAAGACAGGCCCCGGGCATGTTTCTAGCATCTGCAGTTCCCTGAATGACTCTTGGAGCTGTCGTGTCCACCTGCTGCTTCGGTGCGCAAGCATAGACTTAGCCGCTCTCCTCGGCTGCTAAAGAAGACGATAGGTAGGCCTATACGAGCACGAACAGGCCCATCGTGCGCTGGCGTCCGCTGCTGCGGACTTCGTCCGCGGCACCAGCACCTCGGAAGGTGCAGGGCCGTGGGAGCGGCTGCAAGAAGCCGCGGGCTGAGGCTTGGCTTCAAAGCCAAAGTTGCACTTTTCCGGCTTGGGCCCTGGTGGCACGGGTGCAACAACAACTTCAAGGGCCTCGACCACAATCGAGACTGTAGCCTGGTGAGCGAACAACTCGAGAGGCCAAGCAGCGCCTTTCTGCAGCACAAAGCCTGCGAGATTTTCCTGGGTGGGCTCAAAGATGGCCTTCTCATCGATTTGCCAAGCATTCAGGGGCTGTGCGACCATCATCTAAAAAGGCCTGCCATCAAGAAAGCAATCCGAACGTCGATGGGCTCAACCAGATAAAACGAGATGCTCACGCTTCTTAGATACAGTAACCGTTTTTCAACAGCGGCTGCCATCTCCCCAACAGCTCCAGCATCGACAGCAAAACGAACACAACCAGAAGACCAACGCTCGCCGCTCGCCTGCCCACCCCCAAAGATCTGACACCCGAAAACTCGCAAGCCCGATCTTAAAGTCTACAACCTGTCCAAGACGTTAGACAAAACGGCTTGCCCATGAGTGCGTCTTCGAGATGCCACTTTGCCGGACTTTGCCGAAGGTCAATGCAGAGAACCTGGCTCCCAAGAACTTCGGATGCCCGATCCAGTTGGGTCTAATTAAGTTCCCATCTTCGTTAGAGAGGAGACCTGACCCAGTCTGTCGGCGCGCGAAGGCCAAAACGGGCTGAAAGGTTCGTTCTTCTTCAGCTTGCGATGTCCTGGCTTAAGTCACGAGGCCCTAGACTTGCTCCCATGATCTGTCGTTCACATGGTGGGATGCTGCTGGCTCACGCAGTGCGAAGAGTTGCCGTCGTCAGCTGTGGCCAAGCTCAGGCCAGTCGTGGCGTTCGCTTCGCAGCAAGCTTCTTTGAGGGATGAAGGGCAGAGATGAAGACTCCCTGAAGGTCATGGCCACGTGCATGGCTCCGCCATGGTTCGAGCCTTAGATGTCATGCATGTAGCCTCGCGTGGATATGAGTTCAATAAGCACCAACTAGTGACAAGGCCGATACCGCTACTATCAAACGTATACAGCAAGTTGGTTCGACAAACTTCTTGGGATTCGAGGGGCCTTCAAGATTACGAAGGAAGTAAGAGTCCGGTGTGCCAAGGGTCCAATGATGCTCATAGGAACAGGTGGAAATGATGGTGAGACTGATAACGCAACAGCAACACTTGCCGGGCTACTAGTGGCAATATCTGGCAATGCTCGCAGTAGCTGCAGCTTCTCGACTTTCGTCTAAGAATCGTAAGAGTGCAAACACCAGCAACAGTTTCAGCCAGTAGTCATACAGCAAAAACTTCGCGAATACTAATGTGAAGCGACAAAGAGCATTGTATAGCCGGAACAGGGAGCATTCGTACATGATGACGAGAGTTGAATGTGGATGAAGACCACATTATAGAAATGCTGGAAATAATTGCCACAACGAAGCTATTCGTTGCAGACGTCAGCAGGAATCAAAACATGACCTGTGATTCTCAGCAGCAGCGCTTCCCTTATGAAGGTCCACGGAACGCGTTGTCATATTAGCCAATCATAGCTCAGTGTTTGGACCTCGTCCTTCGGGCTGGACCTTGGCGAGGCCCTCACGCCGGGGTGGCAACTCGGAGAGGCACAGCGCAGTGGCGCGCATGCGCGAGCGCGTGAGGCTCAGACACAGCAATTCATTTCCTACTAGGCCGCTAGGCCGGGCTAATACATGGAAGATGTGTTACACCTGTGTTCCATTGACTGTTTCACTGCGGTCGATGGGACTGCAGCATTGGCAGAGCTGACATGTGCAGCTTGGCCTCCTGTCCGTTTCTCGGCTAGCGTATCCAAACAATTGTGGAAGCCCGTTGCTTCTCCCTGGTGGCCCGACGCCAGCAGAGATTCAAAGGTTGAGGTTCATATTACAGCACTGACACATACTCTGGCGGTAGGCTCCGCATGCAGCTTGAGCAGCATTCCGACTACACCCAACAACAAGCCAGCAATGCCAACCATGTGATAGCCTGAGCTTGGATGCAATCAGCACTGGCCGCCTGCATCTTGGTGGTGCTGCCAAGCTGCAACTTGGGTATGTTAGTGAGCAGTTTTCGCAGTAACCCCTCGCGGAACATGCCGAACAAGTATTCACGTATCTCCAGCCTGAGTGGCACACTTGTCTGGCCCTTCATGCCAATTCATTTCAGGTTCTCCAACGCCTTTTCAAACTGTCCCATGCCGCCAACCCGCCGGCTGCTGCTAACGAGCGGCTTTGCTTCGAGCGAGACTTGCTGTGCGCTTTATGCCTTTACGCTTCGCAGAGGGCGTGGAGCCTTGACGTAGAGCAACCCGCGCGCAAAGGGCAAAGGGGGGGGCGGGTTGCCATGAACAGTTTACAAGTTTGATTGTCGTGGGAAGACTTTTCGGTTCTGTCAACTGCATGCGTGGTGACGGTGGGACGTTCGGTTTGCGAGTGCAGGAGCAAAGGGCTCCCCCGCAGAAAGCTTTCACTCCAGGCTGCCGTGTAGTGCTGGAGCTCAGGTGGAGGAGTTGACAGGTGCTTAATGTTGCACTATGTTTGTAAGATTCTAAGCTGTGTCATGGAAGATGAAGCGACGCAGTCACGAGACCAGAGCCACAATGCAAGATCGGGGTGTGGGCTGCATCTCTGCCCCGCAATCAGAGGTTGTGCGTCTGCCGTTGGCGTGTCATGTTGCTCACTGCGGCAGCGCTGAGTGTGAGGTTCACGGTCCCATCCTGACATGGCCCGCCCAAGTGTAGGTGTCAAAAATCAGAGGGCGCAAGCGCGGGTCCACCCTAGTCCGCGGCCCATTCAGAAGTAAAGCTGAGGCGATGGGCTTTCCACCAGGGCTCTCCGGGACCGCGTCTTCTTGAGAATTTCGGTTTCATGGCTTGGTCGGGGTCATGAATGGTTGCCCAGACTGGCCCTGCATTACCACCCGGCCCGAAAGCACTGGCGTCCGAAATCTTGAAGGAGCGCACCTGCAACCCCAAGCCCCAAGAGGTATAGCAGTTGACTCCAAACCGCGCTTCAAGAACACCTTGCACGAAGCAGCTTCCGCGAGGATGAGTTCCGGCGGCTTCTGGGAGAGCAGCCGGAAACTCGTTCTCGAGGTAGCAAAGTTATGCCCAGTTTGGGGGGTAAGGAATGTAAGATTTCCGGATGGTATCCGCAGGCTCCAGCTGGAAAAAACATGGTCGGGGTTGACGGGTCCTTCGGAATCAAACGAGACCGAGAAGAACACATTGCAGATTGGAGCAATTCTGCAAACCTCGGTGACAAGAAGCTTTGGGAAGCCCTCGGGAGCGCAGTCAATTTCAAGGACTTTTCGTTTCTAGTGGGAAGGGTTTAAATGTAGCTGCCACTAGACAGAAGTAGAGTTGTAGCAGCAGGTGCAGCAGATGCAGAAGCGGCAGCAGGTGTGTTACCAGCAGCAGTCCAGCAGTTGGTGGTGGTGGTGGTGATGGTGGTCTTCGTTGTCACCGTGACGCCGTGTTCATCGTCGTAGCAGAGAGGCTAGCTGTAGCTGTAGTATTGTAGTGGTTGCAGTACTTGTAGGGGTGTCTGTCGCATGTCCCGCCTAGGGTCAGTGCGACCTGCAATTTTGGCATCAAGAGCCGCTGCATCAGGAGAGCAAAACCGTCTGGTACATCCCGACAGCGCCTCTGCGTGATGGGATGGGTGGCTAGACTGCAAAGCCGCCGCCGGCTTGGTCAGAAACAGAGTTTGAGCCATCACTCAGGAAGTGTGACGAAACCCCAAATGCAGGTATGGGCATGGTGCGCTCGCAGGTCGCCATGCTGAAGCGCCTCCTGACTGACACTACTCGTAGGCAACAGTTCCAGCCAGGTGCAGCGGTGTGGACTGTGAAAGCAGTGCCTTGGGACAGTCTCCTGTGTTTTGCATTGCTGTTTTGCATTGCCTGGCCGGCCGCGTAGGCACGTGTCGGATCCCAGTGCCAAAAAAAAGCCGTAGCCGGGCATGGACATCGTCTGAACCAATACAGCAGAAGCAACTTGAAGCAACCATAGCGGCTGTATCAGCAGTAGCTGCAGCAGTGGCAACGCAGAAACTTGAAGTGTGGACACAGCTGAGACCGTGCCGCACTGCAGCTCACGATAAGCCCAGCGACGCGGACAGAGCCATGAATAGATTGACAGCCATGGTGGAGAACAACCAGGGGAGGAGCAAGCACAAGCAGGTTGATGAGATGGATGGCCCCGAGCTTGGAAACAGGGGCTGTGATTCGAGTCTTGTGTGTTCTGTTTGTAGAGGCGGAGATTGCACAAGCTTCTTTGGGTTGCTTGCGACGGGGGGGTTCACTGCTCCTCCAAGGCTCCAAAAAGGCGCACATTGATAACACCCTCCGTGAACTGCAGAATCTCCGGCATGGTCCCTGCCTCAGTCGTCTGCAAAGGGACAGAGGTCCAATGCTTCGAGCAACAAGGCGCACCGCCCCTACCAGCCGCAACACTGTGTCGTCCTAGGTCGATGTATGGGCTGGAGCTGGTTAAGTAACTCACTGGATGTTGATTGTAAGAGTCGGAGCATGGCCTGCCGAGGTTCCAAAGGCTCAGAAGGGCTATGATAGGCACTACAAGGGGCTCACCATTTGTGTGGCACAACTCATCACACCTTGTGATGTTCGTTTCCAAGGAATGGTTGCCAAAAAGCCCTGGTTGGACGATTCTTTCTATGCAAGCAGTGCAGGTAGTTCTTCACGAGGTCAGCTCTTGCTATGCTCTGCTTCTGCTCTCTTTTTTGCCGAAGGCGGCGCGGGCTGATGAGGGCGCCATGTCCACCACGACATTATTAGTTGTCTTCTTTGATTTTGTTTAGTCTGGTGTTTTGGCTGTCATCGTCATGTTGTGGCAGCGTCGAAGTTGTAATCGCTTCTGGCGTCGTCGTCGTCGTTGTTGTTGTTGCTGGCGCGGCTGGCTCTGATACTTCTGCGGCTACTGCTCGCAGTTGCTGCTCTCGTTGCTGTTCTTTCTGCTGTCATTCTGATACATCAGAAGCCATCTTTTCTTGCAGTCTTTTTGGGAAACGAGCCAGACTCCGGCGTTCCTGGTAGTGCAGTTGAGTTGTGCATATGAGGAAGCCGGCAATCAAATATGGTCTCCAAGCAGGATCCGAACTGCACAGTTGCTGTCTGCAAGCTTTCGAATTCGAAGAGGTGAACTATCGGAAGTTGCTTCGTGCATACTGCCTTCGTTGCAGCATAGAGCAAGTAGCAGCAAGCCAGCTACGCAATTTAAAAGGGGTTTTAGAATACTTTGCGGGAGGCGGGGATGATGTTTCGGCTAGCCACAGCAGCTGAGTAGCAATTTGCTGGGCGGGTCGTGCCGTTAGATGGCAGTGATTTACATTTCCTGCTTATCGTTGTGAGTTTGCTGTCATCTTTCAGCAAGCGGGCATGTTGCATCGAATTTACACTGAACTGTGAGCTATCACAAGTCTGCAGGCGAAACGGGGATGCTTGAAGGTCATGACGTTTCGGAAATAGAGGCGCTGCACACGAGCAAGCAGGCTTGGGGCGACCAAGATCTTGAGACAGGAGAGTAAGGGAACCTAGACAATCGGGCTGGTGAATGTTGTCAGAAGTACAACGGGGACAGGGGATTCGGTCCTTTTGCATGTCCAACATGATGGAGAAGTAGAAGCTGCCCAAGTGCATACACTGACAAAGATTTCCCGCAGTCAGCATCCTTTCTGCCTTCTGCATCTGCCCGTATGATGCCGCTACTTGACGACGACATGCAATGGCATCGGTTTCAATCAGGACAGGCAAGACGACCGCAATGCATCCTGTCAACAGTTCCAGCAGTAACGAAGAATGCCAAACACAAGGGCACCATCAACTGGAGTCGAGAAGGGATGTGCGCAATACGGGGCCCGCTCAAGAAAGCCACAAGCGCTGAGGCTCCAAAGCCCAATGTCCAGAACCCATGTCAAATATGTACTCCATCACCGCCCGCTTAAGTTCTCCGGCCAAGGCTCCTTTTCTCTCACAACTTTGAGATTTTCATTGGTCTCGTTGTCTTGCTGCTTGCCGGACTCAGCCGGAGGGCTTGTTGTGATGCATGGTCGAGGTCCTCAGAAGTTCAGAAGCCCAGCAGACCAAGGTTCAACTTCGCAATTATCCTGATAGAGGCAGGGCATGGCCTCGCATGTTTGGGAGGGCGCAGCGCTGCGTTCAGTGGCTGCGGCGATCATGCTATTCATTGAAGCCGCGACTTAGAAGAAGCTTTTGCTTGCTGCACAGTCTGCACATGTGTGGATTCGGCTCGGGTTGTAGGGTCATCCAGAGGCACCTGCCCATGTGGAATGCTTTGAGCACATGTGCGATTGTAGGCAAGTGTTTAGAAGTCTTCTGCCGAGTGCCCCCAGTGGCCGACATCATGTCTGGGCAGGCAGATGCGGACGCAACGTGCTACCCGCACTATGCCGACAAGTACTTCGAGTGTCCAACTCGAAGTTCTTCCATCCTTTGGCTTGGAATCGTAGAGGTTGTTTTCATCGCCCCTTGGAGTGCAACACCCCGACGCTTTTGCAGGTAGACTCGGGTAGACTAGAAGATCTCCTGCAGGTGCGATTTGTTCTTGCATCTTCGGCTGAGGTGATCTACGTGTCGGAGTGCGTGGCACGAGTCTATGTGGAACGAGCCCGTTTCCTCTGCAGTTCCTGGAACGTGGTGGACCTCACGACAGTCCTCCTTGGCTGCCTTCAGCTGGCCCTGGCAGATACAGTGAATTTGAGCCTGCTCAGGTTGTCAAGGATAGCTCGCGTACTGAGCCTTGGAGCAACATAGCACGACAGGTAAAGCTCGAGTTTCAAGCCTTGTAAGTTTAAGGCTTAGGGCTGACAGCAGATGAACAGACCCAGGAAAGCAGTGCGGCTTTTTATTTCCGTGCCGGAGCTGTACATGCTAATCGGCGGTCTATATTCATCGCTGAAAGCCATCATTTTTGGGGCCATCATGCTTATTGTGATGATTCTGGTTTGGGCAGTGGTGTCTGTGGAGATACTACACCCCATTGCTTCTGTGATTGACTTTCCGGGGACGTGCGAACGATGCTCAAGAGGTTTTGCTGACATCTTTTCTGCTTCTGTGACCATTTTCCAGCAGATAGTTGCTGGAGATTCTTGGGGCGCGATCTCCATCCCGCTTGTCGACGCTTGGCAGCAGGGCCAACCTGGGCTGCCACTGTTTGGCCGCCCCGCTGGCTTCCACAGTACCTGTAGGTTTGGTGGTCGTTGCCTGTTTGGCGTATTCATAGCTCGTTACCCATGTGCAATTCGTGAGCTCCGAAGTTCGGATCGACTAGCTGTTTTGGGGATCGCCGTTGATAGGATGGCAAGAACGGTCCACGTGTAGACCTCAAGGACTCAAGGATTTTGTATGACTTCACGAAGCACTCTTCCGCTTATGGACTCCTGATTATACGCCAATCTAAATGGTCTCAATATTTCCTAAGGGTGGTTCAGGCTTCACAATATAGATTAAGTAGTACTGCCACCGGGGGAGGGTGGCTAGCAGACATTTGTTCTGTCACTGGTTGCAAGGGCTTCGAAGTGACACCCAGAAGTTGTTCCAAATGTCATAGCGGGCGCATGTGGCCACAGGAGCGTGCTCCTGGAACTGCAATCCTCCTCTTCGCCATCATGTTGACCATATCCGTGGGACTGATGAACTTGATCCTCGCGGCCAGGGACTCAGTCGGAATGGCATCTGGTCCAACACGAGCATCCCAAAGCTTCGAATCCCTCAAGGGCGCCGGCTTAGGGTTCAGGGTCAGCTGTGTTGTTGCCTCACACTTGCCTGCATGTTGGAAGTCATGTTCTTGTTCGTGAGTCCTTGCCAGGTTCACAGAGTGCTAGACGCAGGCAGACAGCACAACTCCCGAAATCTACGATGCTTCAAGAAACTGCACGTCTTGCGTGTCGTTTGGAGTAGCGAAAGCCATTTGCGGTGGCAGGTTAGAAGATCCCTATGATCCCTGTAAAGAATCTTGCTGCCTAGTGCCCAGGTCATTGTCGAAAGGGCAGCAGAGGCGCGGGAGAACGATCATGCCAAGAAACTCCAGCAAAAGGAAGCCGAGCGCAGCAGGAGCATGGAGGATCTGGTCCTGCTATGTGCCGGGATGGACATCAATGCAAATGGCATGATCTCTTATCAAGAGCTCTTGAAGGGTTATGACAGGCTGAACGATTTCCAGAAGCTGATGGATGTGATGGATATCAAGCGAGACGATCTAGAGTCCATCTTCTATGTCTTGGACGAGGACGGCTCTGGTGAGGTGTCATACCTGGAGTTTTGCTCGAGCTTGGGGACCTTCTTCAAGCGCGAGCCCATCATTATGCACTCACTCGTGCGCTACTCCGTCATGGAGATTCGCAGCTTTGCTTGACTTGTCGAGATGCGTTCGTTTGTCTCAGGTGCCTGGGGCTCTGGCTTTGAATGCTTGAAGTGGAGTCAAGCCGTTTTTGACTCCCCGGAAGCACGGTTTGTACCGAGGAAAGATTCTACGCCAGGAGGTGGATCAGCAAAGCAGGGTCAAGTCTATAGTCTATAGTATTCAGCGTTCTGCATAGTATCGATTCCTGGCGTCCTGGGCTCGACCGTGTCTTTCAGGTCTTTGTAGTTTAGGAGCGAAGGGGATGACTGTGATGTAGTGCCTTTGGCCTCTGCGTTGGTAATGCTATTAAGCTCCACACCCTCATATCTTTGCCCAAGGGCGCTGTGTGCCCAGCTTGAGCTGCTACGGCTGCTTCTTTGCTGCTTCTTCGTTTGCTGCATATTGGGCCTGGTAGGTGCTTGTGGCTCACTTCACTGCTTAATTCTGCCTGAGTGGCAGGTCCTTTCAATCCTGGACCAGCACACAGAAATGCTGCAGGAGCCACCCCAAACTCAGCGCCTTGCACCGGCCCCCTGCCCTAGCACTTTGTGTCTGCAGTTTTGCAAGTTTGCAGAAAGATCGCGATGAACATGACCGCAAGGAGCAGCGAGCCATGATGGAATTCAAGCTAGGGTCTCAGCCGGAGGCCTCCTGTATGCAAGTTGGGTGAGCTGAGCGCATGAGGTCTACAATCCAACTGCTTGAGCTGTGGCACTGTAGCCCCGACGGAACGTGATGGCAGGCAGTCTGGAAGGTCGGCCAAGCAGACGATCCTATCAGCAACGGGCACTGGCTGCAAAATCATCATACAGAGGATTCACTCAGGCGCCGCAGCATGTGTGAAGTTGCCAAGCATGTGAGCCACCTGGGGAGCCAGGAAGCATGTTTGAAGCAACAGAGGCCTTAATGACCTTATGAGTACGTGTTCTGCAAAGAGAGGGCAATCGATCCTGTGTATACTGAGTCACTGCTGTCTCTTGCCAGCTCAGGAGTTGGTGCTTGTGCACCCCTGTTTGAAGCCCTATTCCTGAACCGGCGCGAGCTCTGTATTGCGAAGAACTGAATGGAGCGGTTCTAGACTCGTCAGCCCACTCTTCATCGAGTCCAAACCTGGGTCCTGCAAGCGACATGTGAAAGCCCTTCGTTTCGGAGTCACTCTTCGAGCCAGCTTAGGTTTACTAAGACAACAACACCCCAGAGTCCCAGAGCAGTCACTGAGACGTGAAACCCCTTGAAGGACCGTCTTCAGCCAGGAGGAGCCTCGTAGTTTCTTAAATCCGGCGCTGGACTCCGTGCAGCAGCCTGGCCTGGGAAAGATATGTTATACTTCTGGATTTGTTAAGGCTTCTTGAATTCTATTGTTTGGTTGAGAACTCACAGAATACCTACGACTGTTCAGTTCTAGGTCAGTGAATCGCTTCGTTGTTGGAATGCTTATGGTATCCTGGGGCACCACTTGAAAATATCATGAGCTCGGCAGGCTGCACCAGCCTTGAGACGCAGTCTTTCCCTGCAAGGCAATGCAGTAGAAAAGTCTGCCGCTAGGGTGCATCTTTAGGGTTTGGGTCATGGTCCGCCTAAGACCTAAGGCCGCACTCTTGCCCCAAATTCAAATGCATGGTCCACCATGGTCCCAAACTCTGATGTCAGCAGGCCAGTCTGTCTTTGATAGAGATGTTGCTTCCGAGGCCCAAGATGTTCAGATGTTGATTTTTTTCACTTGCATGGCTTCAAGGTGTGAGGGTTCCCATTTGTCCTTCACGACGAGTGGAGTAACCGGTGCCATTCTCCCTGTCCCGAAGCGGAAATGTGCGAGTGGCCAACTTGCCATCTTGGATTTTCTCCGCACGCAGGATGACCACTATACCGATGTGGGTAAAGCAGCAAGTGCGTGGAGGTAGGCATCCCTTTACAATTCCATATTCAGCAGCGCCGAGGTCATCGGCGGGCTAAGGTGTGGGCATCCTTACGTATATAGGTGAAGTGCGTGTTGTTCATGTGATCGGTTTACATGTTGCAGCCTGTGGAAGCAATGGGCTTGACTCAGTTGCTGTTCGCTTGGCATTCTGTTGCTATCCTTCGTCTCCTTCCTGTCGTTCTTGCTGCATTTGCTGCCACCATCGGCCGGGCCGATGAGGGCCAGGCGCAGCCATTCTGCAGCCACGAGCTTGCTTGGGAAGAGTGTGCCGAGCACCTACCATCTGAGAAGGCGGCCAAGGGCCGGCTGACGGTCAAGACCGATAGCAAGGTTCCGTCCCAGAAGTGGGACACGCTGACACGGAGCTGTCCCTGCGACTTCGGAAACAATCTTTGGCTGCATCTTTTGACATTTCTGATGCCAGGCGAGGTCGAACGGGGAATGAGTTTCAAGGAAGGAAATTGCGGCGTGGTTCTAAAGCCAGATCTCGATCCGATCTCCTGTCCCATTGGCTTTGCCACTCTTGCTGTTGTCTGCCACGAGCTCCTCGACAGCGAAGCGGATAAGATGACAATGAAGAATGTTGTGGCCGATCTGCTCCCTGGATTAGAGAAGTGCTTGCCAAAAACCTTCTGGCCGCTCAAATTGGATGACTTGCGTCGTTTCCTCGATGAGGACCATGGATCTTTTGATGGCCATGTAGATCTCCATCCGCACGTTGTGTCAGAACTGGCAGATCCATTGCGCCGCTGTTTGCCGTTGAAACTTCCGGATTGTTGGCACCCCAAGAATGCATTAACAGAAACGGGAGGCGTCATGAAAGATACAAACGTTGGTGTCAAGAACGCATGCATCTTATGTTGCGGTTCTGGCAACTCCTCCGAGTGCTTCGACGCTGTCTACACCGAGGACACCTGTTGCAACACGCTGGAGATGGAAAAAGGTTGCGTAGCGACTTCCTTTGACCGCTTTTCCGGTCAATCCGACGTCCAGACTGCGTGAAACCAGCTACCTACGTAGGACAATAAGACTGACCAAAACTACAAGGAGTAGGCAAATGGCGTTAACTCACAAGAATCTGAAGTTCTGCAGTCGACCCATTTTCGGGATGGAGTGAAGGCACTCTTAGTATCTCTTCGTGTGGTGGTCTACTGTAGAGACACAGTAATGCAAACGGGCAGTTAGCCCGATCAGGGGTAGCCGCATAATAGGCTGTGACTAGACACGAGGTGTTGAGGCAGCAAGAGCAAATCAAGCATCTACAAGTTCTGAGAGGCTTCAACCTTAAGTGGCCACATGTACTCGCAGGGTGTCCATAACTGCACACTTTGTGGCACGTGAACATAACGATGTTCACGCATGCATACCGGCCCTTTCCCACTGATCACGGCATGAACCTTTCGGCCTCATTGGCTCTGAGCCGTCACAGCCGAGGCGAATCGACCACCAGCTTCGTCTGCATCTCGCCCGAGCAGAGGCTTTCGATGCAGGGTTTGAAACTCATCTTGCACTCACGACTCACATCGCAAAGATGTTTCTTGGCCCCGAGGTCCATATGGGGCACTTTGAGGGCTGCAGGATTAGTCGGCCTAGAGTTCAGCCACCGATTTGTCCAAGCTCTCGATACTCGCAATAACGGGGCTACTACTTCTCTGAGCCTCCAGCGGAGTTTGTCAGACCCTGCCCGCTTCTTCCAGCTTTGAGAACTATCAATGTGTAAGCCACACACATCGGGTTCTCTGAACTACTATTGTGGCAGGAGCTCGCAAGAGCTGCGGTGGATCAGCTCGTCTCCACCTATGCAGGTCATGTGCCCTCGAATTAATCATGTTTTTGCTTGGCATGTGGTCGCCGACATGCAGCTGTCGTCAATAGATCCTGCGCGGATGCTGCAAGCTGTAGGAGAAACAGAAGAAGCTTTCTGTCGTGATTTCCTTGCAGGCACGGGCTGGACCCAGGAGGTGCCCAAGCCGAATCTACGAAGCTGCGGGAGACAGAGGACTCAGAGGACCAGAAGTCCTTCCAGGGATCCGCGAGCTCATCGAGGATCAGGCCCCATCCGCAGCAGAGGTTTGAGAGTCTGTGCACCTCGCCATGCGAGCCCGAGTCCTCGGACACGGTTTTGCAGGTGAGTCCATCGATGACAAGTTTGTCAGAATTTGTGGAGGCTTCCGGGAGCGGATGCAGGAGGCTGAAACTCTGCAGGAAGACTTCAGGAAAATAGTGCCTGGGTCAGCATTGCCCCAAGCGAGCACCGCACTCTGAAGGCGAATGCAGGTCGCGTGGCCGATGAGGCTGCAGGTTTCGGACCCCCCCCCCCCCCCCAGAAATCAGGGAATCAGCCGACGAAGACGAAGGGAACATAGGGGGCCCATCTTCGCCAGTGCGCACTGTAGCCGAGGTGGTATATTTCAACTCCTTGCGTGCGAGTTGTACTGATGGCGAATTAAAGGACCTCATGGAGGACCCGCACATAGAAAATAACTCCCTCTAGGGAAGCACGTGGGGAGCTCTGCCACTGGCCATTCCGAATGTTTCCGCATTGCATCGCCATCCTTTCCAGGCCTTGAGAAGCTTAGAAAATGGCCTAGGGCCCAGTGGCCTGGTACAAGATGTGCAAACAGTGGCTGGGGCTCCGCCGTGCTGTTCCGCCAGCTTCCGACTTCAGACTTTGGGGTCCGCCCGCAGCTTGCAAACTGAGGCCTTCTGTGCCTTTTTAAATTAAAAACAGAAAAAGTGTTTTGGATGAAAGAGAGGTGTTGTGATTGCCGGCATGAGCTGGGGCTGTTGGCGGACTGGAAATCATTTTTCATATCATGCTGCCTATCCTTGCTTCCCGGCTGACAGTTTCTTTTGGTCGCGGCTACCCTTTCCCATCAAGGTCTTACCAGTCATTAGTTTGGTCGTGCGAAAGTCTCTTGGTCTCTGTCAGGCAGGGTTAGTACACAAGGGTAGGCAGCGTGTGGCTCGTCCAATGCACTCCGTCTACTGAACAGATTCTTCCTAACGTTTAGTGGCTCCAGTTTGCAGGGAGACAACCAGGCACTTACTTGCACTTATCTGCAAGGACGGGCCCGCACTCGGCTTAGTAGCTCGTTTGGCAGCCGTCATCAGGAAGCTGTGGCTGCTGAGCACTTTGCCGCGAGGTGTGCTGCATTCTGCAAGAGGTTTGGCACGAGCAAACCTCAACTACTTGGGTGCATCTGTCTGAGACAGAAAGCTTGTACCCGTAAGAGTTGCAAGCTTCAGTTCCTTCAAGCAGGACTGACCAAGGGATGCCTGCCCGAATGCAGCTCCAGCACTCTCAGCACATGTATTTATGACAGGGCTTTCATGACGACGGCACTATGTCTTCGTGAGCTGCATCCGTGCATCCAATCGACATCGGGCTCTCCAAACTTAAGTTTAGTAGGCCTATGTTGGCCGAAACATGACTTGTGAACCATGTGGAAAAAAGCGTGGCCGTGTGTTCGAACATGTGCTGCTTCCCCTTCTTCCCCACCCAGCATGTCCAAACTGTGCAGTAATCACTTTGATACTCCATGCCGTTCGACAATTCGGAAACCACTTGAGTGAGATTGGATGGTGTGTTTCTGCTGCGTCGCTAGCTGAGCATCACCTGGAACAAGGCGAGTTTTTGCTGGTTTGCACTGTTGGTGCCACAAGGAGAACAGCGAATACTTTCAGACAGTCGGTTTTTTTTGTCAAAATCATCAGTGCAACCTTAAACTAAACTTACGACACCTCCGACCTTTGTCGGACTATCACCCTCCCAGGTGAGTTTGGCCTGAGCCGTGTGGAGGTGATCGACGTTGAGCTGGAAGCCCAGTTGTTCCAACGTCAACTCCGCTTCAGACGCCTGTGGAAGGCTTTATGCATGCTAGGTACATCAAAGGGGATGACCTCAAGAAAGCCGTCGCTGCGCTGGGAAAAGTAGACGTGGTTTGGGCCGAGATGGGCAACACGTCGCTTGGGGCTGCAAGGAAGTGCCTGCTAGTTGGACCGCGCATATCTTAGAGGTCAAAGGCAAAGTGAAACAAGCATATGTGCTGGCAACAGGGTCTTTAGATGAGTAACAGGTTTCGACGTGTAGCAATCGATGCAGGTATGCTTTGCGGCACCATCTGAGAGACTCAGGCCTGTCCAACGGGAAAGCATCTTTCACGGCTTTTTGAATACCAGCGCGGACTGTTGTCGGCGGTTTTGGTGGGTTACTCGTAGTGGTAGCAGTACTCGGATCGATAGTCGTCGTCGTGGCTGTTCGGGAAGTGGCAGCACAGTACCGCTGGCAGGCAGCAGTAGAACCATTAGAACCATCGTATCATAAAAGTCATAGGTTCCCCCACGCCTTGGGCGTGTGAAAGAGAGTCTGACGCATGACCCACCTTCTTCGACCTTCCCCGTCATACTGGCAGAATCACAACAAGCACAATGGGGTTCCAACACAAGAGCCTCGCCATTGAATTGAATCTGCTCTGTGCCAGGGCCAGGTTTGCCCTCAGGCCACTTCAACGAAGGTGCAGAAATTCCCACAACAGAAACCTAAGCACGAGAATTAGCCGCATCGCATCTTGCCGGTAGTGGGTGCGGGCTCGCATCTCAACCCTCACAGTGTGTCTGTGCAACTGCTGCGTGCTACATCTGCAAACTGTAACTGCGAAGAGCTGAGAGTGGCGCTTGGTTTGTTGGCTCAGTGAATCGGATACCCGAGTGTCCAGGTGTTTCGGCAAGCTGGCATCACATATGGGAGACCTTCAGCAAGATGTATCAATTGCAGAATGTAGGGGTGTGTACTGCCATCACTGAACATGTTCAGACTCCAGAGATGTTGCCCGCGGAAGTACATGGTTCCTGTCGGGCGTACGTGCTTGGAATGCAATCCAGCTAGGCGGCGATCAGTTGGTCTTCGATGCCATGGATGCTGGTGCGATTTATGCGACGTGGCAGAAGAGAGCGAGGGAGCGTGCACATGTGTGTGTGTGTGTGGTGTCTGTCCGTCTGCCTGTCTGCTTGTGTGCGTAGCACCTGTGTGTTCCAAGTAATGCATTTTTCGTACAACTACATGGGTGGTTGTCAATATTATGGTCCCTTTTGGGGTACCCTAAGTAATAGGTGCTGTATTATAATAAGGACCCAAAAAGGGACCCTAATTTTGACAACCGCCCACATGTTCTGTTGCGGGAGGAGATGTGCAGTTTCTCCAGCAAAGCCGCAGGTTGGCAGCAGCGCAGGGAGCATTGTTGCCGGCCGCACCGTGCAGATGGCCTTCTGGAAAGATTGGGACGACAAGACGGCTGCAGCTTGCTGCAGCCAGTGCTACTCGGGGTGTTGTGGTATGCTGTAATTAGAACTGGCTTCTGAGCACCTAGCATTTGTCGGTACCGTACATCGTCAGTCCAAGGAAGGCACGATCGATGTTGACTGGAAGGACACATGTCATGATATATAAAAAGGTACTGTAGATAGACAGACAGATGGATGGATGGATAAATGAATGGATGGATGGATAAATGGATTGATAAATGGTTGGAGATAGATTCATGGACAGTCAACTATAGGCTTAGACTCCAGTTTGGTTTGTGGAGAGGAGCCACATCTGCTCGGTGCTGCTGTGTAGTTTCTGGACCTTGGGTTGTGCAGACCCGCAGCCGTTTCAGTTGGGGTTGTTCACGTTTTATTAACCCACAACTTGCGGGCCATCTGCCCATCTGGAGTCATGACCACAAGTGGCGTGTGGTCGCCGAGCAATGCAGGCCGCGCACACTTGCCTGCAACACTTGGCTTTGCTGCAATTCGTGAGCTTGGCTCAAGGTTCGGGCAGCGGATTTTGTTGTTGCCGCATGCTTTCTGAAAGAATTCCGGGGGCAACCGGCCAGAAGATGCTCGGGCATGGGCAGTCTAATTTTGCCGAATGCCACGACTGCAATTGAATCATCATGCTGAAAGCCGCCAAGAACTCTGCAAGTAAGAGTAAGGCTTAGAAGCAAGCACGGGTCCAAAAAAAGGCTTAGAAGCAGCCTTGACGAGGCTTTGAGATGAAGCGCAAGACTTCGCTACTGGGCGCAAGAATACCGATCGGAGCGCTCTGTTCTCGCTGTGCACCAGACCAGTTCTGCATGCTATAGGACTAGGAACCTGACCGTCTCAGCCTTGTCGTTGGGTTACATGAACAAAAATGTCCCACTGCTCGGTTTCCACCGCCCGATGGTTGGAGATACCTTGTACTCGTCAGAGCGCTTGACTACAGCGGTGTGTATGGTCCAAGGGGCGAGCTAAGGTAGACCATGTCGGACCCCGGCCTCCCGGGACTAAACACACGGCCCAGACACACAGAGTCAAAAGTCACAGGGCTCCTGCGGCTGGCAGTGCCTGAACGTTTATATCCTCGTGCACGCACGTCTTGCTGTCGGACTGTCGCGTCAGCCCAGGAATTCGCCATCGCAGCAGAAAGCTCTTTTTTCATAGGATCCCTCTGGAGAGAGATAGGATCCCTCTGCAATCTCACCGAGACCCTGTGCAACCCGCAATGGAGCCACTGTACAAGCATGGCAGACACAGGAGAGAGACAGAGAGAGAGCTGAGGGTCCCGCAAACGGACCCCTACGCCCGGCAGAAAGAAAGAAAGAAAGAGAGATAGCCATCCACTCAATAATATTTGAGTGGTTGGGCGGGCCGATGGCCTGAGGGTCGGGGACGCCGACCCCTAAGCCCAGCAGAAAGAAAGAGAGAGATAGACAGACATCAGACAGGGTTCCTTAAGGTGGGGATGATCTCTAGTACATATGTACGCTGAGTCGGACGTGTGTGTCTGTGTGTGTGTGTGGGGTTGTCACTCATGTGAATGTACAGATAACCAGCTGACACATTACTTCGACATTGTGCACTCGTATAGGAAGTCCTTACGGACAAGCTTCGACGACGACCGCCAGTTGTACGTATGACAGTATTACGGTCATCCCGTGCTTTCTTCACAAAATCTGTCACCAATCTGCAAGAAGTGAGGTGATCTGGAGGGCATGGTAATGCAATGCCTTCTGCACCGACTCTTAAAATTGGTGGCCGCAACGACCATGTCAACGATGTTTGCGATGTTGATTATGAGCCGCATCACCATAGCGATGATGCCAGCAGGGATAGTACCAGCGGCATTGCTGTATCAATCATAATGATACCAGTGGTGTCACTGTGGTAATGTCCCGGAAAGTAGCAGAGCAGCAGGAGGAGGAGTAGCAGTAGCAGCAGCAGCAGCAGAAGTCGTTGTCGCCGTTGCCGTCGTCGTGATAGTCGTGGTGGTGGTATGGTAGTACTGGAGTAATGGTAGCGAATAACGGTGGCGGCAGCAATGGTGGCGATGGTGGTAGTTAGTTGTGGCAGTAGTACTAGGAGTTGCGGTAGCAGTAGCGGTGGTGGTAGTGCTGGCGGCGGTGGTGGTGTTGGTGTTGGTGTTGGTGTTGGTGTTGTTGCTTTTTGCGTGGTGGTGGTGGCGGTGGTAGAAGTAGTAGAAGAAGAAGAAGTAGTAGTAGTAGTAGTAGCAGTGGTAGTAGTAGAAGAAGTACTAGTAGTAGTAGTAGTAGTAGTAGTAGTAGCAGTAGTAGTAGTAGTAGTAGCAGTGGTAGTGGTAGTAGTAGTAGTAGTAGTAGTAGTAGTAGTAGTAGTACGAGCAGTAGTAGTAGTAGCATCAGTAGTAGTAGTAGTAGCAGTAGTAGTAGTAGAATAAGAAGTAGCAGTATTATTATATATTATTATTATTATTATTAGTAGTAGTAGTAGTAGCAGTGGTAGTAGTAGTAGTAGTAGTAGTAGTAGTGGTAGTGGTAGGAGTAGTAGTAGTAGTAGTAGTAGTAGTAGTAGTAGCGGTAGTAGTAGCAGCAGCAGTAGTAGTAGCCGCTGTAGTGGCTGTAGCAAGTAGGAAGTAACAGGAAGTGGAAAGTTCGAGGTAGGAGGTAGGAAAGGCAATAGTGACGAAGCTGCAGGTTTTCCATGTTGGACAACTCGGTTCGAAGGCAAGGCGCAGCATTGAACAGTTTCGTGCCTAGACATGCCAGTCTGTAGAAAGTCTTGGCTGGATACCTTCCATGGAATGAGGTCTGTCGGCAGTCAGGATTTCTTCTTACACATGTCGCCGGTCAAGGGCACATATCTTCCGTTACACGGTTGCGGTGTGGGCTGTGGAGCAATAGAGACAGCACGGTCGTCTCAGCAGGCCGATGCCGGCAGCAGCGAAACCTGGTGGTGAGGTGCTTGAAGGGATGTTTCAGAAGCATCAGCGCAAACATTGTTATGACGACACGATCCAGCAGCCATTCGGGGACTTGGTGCTGCAACGACGCTCACTACTACAGAAAGGATCCAGATGCTTCTTTGTTCCAGTTGCTTCTTCTTGACTGCATCCTTGCTTCAGGAGAAGATGGCGAAACTCTGGAAGTTGATGGAGCATTATGCTGGAGTCTCAGTCCTGCCGGCCACGGGGAGCTCGCAGCTTTGTCGCACCAGTGCTAAGGAGCCGAACGATCAAGACTCCATCAAGAAGTCCTTCGCCCGACATCTGGAGTATTCTCTCGCCTGCACGCGATTCAACTTCAGAATGCAGGACCTACAGGGAGCTGTTTGCTTTCTACTGGTGGTAGAGGCCCTCCCTGCCCCTCTCCTTCTAAACAAAAGAAGGGTGGTGTCTGAACATGGTTTTTTGTGGTGGACCCTCTGGCCAAAACATCTTCCGGCTGTCGGACTTTGCATCGTGAGTAGTTGCCGTTGCGGGGCTCTGCTTACGCCAAGGCACACGCTGTCACTTCCGTGCTTGTTGAGTGCCCATCTTGATTTCATTGCCAGATGCCAGAAAACGGACAGCCGTTGTCTGACTGTTCGTTCCAACAGTGCGCAAACTGCAAGGATGCTTACCGCGCTGCTGGGTTTGCCCTCCGTGACCGCCTGGTTGAGTCCCTCAATGACACAGAAGCGCCTCAGCTTTATCGCGCAACCGGCCGACACGAGCCCGGAGCCAAAGATTGCTTCGAAAGGGTTCGTGGGGTCGCTGACCAGCTATGGTTGGCTTAGGGATGGTAGGTCACGCTGGCATGACCTGGCCATTTCTTGCCATGAAATCCACACAAACTAATCGTTTCCACCTTATATTAAAAGGAACCCTCCCCAAAAAAAACACTGGAATCCGGCGGTTTGGTTTTTATATTAGGGGGGGTTTCGGCACATCTGGGTATGAGTCCTAAACCCTAAAGCCCTAGCCCTCAACCTTAAGCCCCAAGCCCTCAGCCCCTAAACCCTGAGCCCTAAGCCCCTAGACCCTATGCCCTGACTGACTAATACAATCCTGGCCCCCCCCAACATTGTTAATTGACTTTCAATTGCGGGCCCGAAACCGCGAAATCCCGGGGCCGGGAGGTTTTTAAATAAGGGGGTTCAATGTTAGGGGGAAGCAACTACAAATTAGACCAAACGAGGCACATTACCGGGAGAAGGATGTCAAAAGGCCACTCGATGATATGACAATGACTAGGCCATTTGCCGCGGCTGTCGTCGCGAGCAGTTGATTCTGCCAGGGGCTACTACTTGTCTGCAGAGTACTTGATCGGGCGGCATATGCAAAATGCCATTGCCAACCTGGATCTTGAGCGACCTTTCCGGGAGACGAGCACTTGTGGTGATAGATTCGTCTGTATCTTACAGTGCTTGCAGCAATTTCACCTCGGCGATTTTCGGCAGGAGGCGTTCATGGATCTGGGCATCCAGCTGGAGGACATTTTCGGAAGTCCTCACGAAGTCAGGGTCAACGCTAGCTGCGGGATGACCCCCAGTTGACATAAGCTGACTTACGGGGTGCTGCTCGTAAAAGCATCAGGGTAACCCAAAAAGGTGGCTTTTGAATACTGTACATACTATACTACTATACAATACTATCATGCAGCTTGGGGTGGCTGGGATACCTTGTGCTTCAGGAGCTCCTCTCGCAGGAAGCAGATCCGGCCTTGGGCAACGGTGGCCTGGGCCGTCTCGCCGCGCAGCTCAAGCCGCATCTGGTGTTTCGGATGTTATGTCTGCAAAGAAGTCCTGATGCAAAGAAGGGTGTTTTAGGATCGAGGAGTCTCAGTGCGGCAAAGATGCAGGTGCTTCTTGGACTCCATGGCCACGATGCCGCTCGGATAGCACGCGGCAACGTCCCAATCTTCATGCATCTTTTTGAGACAGCGGTGCAGCAGATCCAGCAGAATCTACAAAGTGTCGGCAGACATTCGGATCAGGTCGCTTCCTTGCTGGGGCTACGGCATCCGCTACAGCTACGGCATGTTCAAGCAGCAGATCGAGTGCTTTTGCTCGGGTTGGTGTCTTGTACTGCCCGACCGTACCGGCGAGTCACTGTCAGGAACGGGCGCCAGGTGGAGCAGCCAGACTTTTGGATTGGCCGCAGCCTTATCCTCCACGAGCGAACTCATCGGGTTGAAGGCTTGCTGCGCCTGGCAGGTGATGGATGCCCTTTCGAGATCCCTCGTCCTGATGTCACTTACCCAATCCGCTTCTATGGCCACGTGGAGGCCCAGCAGGGTCCAACCACGGAGTCAAACATGTGCTGAGTTGAGGTGTTAGTGACAGTATGCCCATTGTATGCCCATTGATGCCCTTTGTTGGGCGACTCAGGAAGCGGAGGTAAACGGCCAGAAGCTCTCGAGGCCCAGTTCTGGCGCACAGGCATGAGCACCCCCTGAAAAATCATTTTTCAAGGTGGGTCGGTGGCGAGATCGTGCAAGCAATGGCCTATGACAATCCCATCCCCGGCTTTGAAGCCTGCACGCAAGAGGTTGACTCGACTGGCATAATCAGTGGTGATATGTGGTGATGGTCTTATTGGGAATCTGCGACTTGTCTTTGTCGTCACGCAATCAAAGGACACCTTCAACACGAACAACCTTCGGCTGTGGCGTGCTTGCCCGTCCAAGGCACTATCAACTTTTCAGGGTGGGCTTTGGGCTCCTGATCGTCCTCTAGATCGGGTTTCAGACTCCAGTTCAAGGTCTTGCTTTCCATGAGCTTTCCTGGGGCAGTGTGACAGGAGTTCGACCTGGATGCCTACAACAGTGCCCAGTTTTCCAACGCAATCGACCAAAGGAGGAGGGCAGAGGATTTATCTGCTGTTCTTTACCCCGACGATGCTTGGTTCTGATACTTTTTTGCCGTCGTGGCCTGTAGACTTGCGTAATGTGTGCCATGTGACGAGATCGTAATCGCGGGCGTCGCATCTCTGGGCACCTCTGGTGCTGCATGGTGTTTGCTGGTCATGGGTTGTCCTGCAACCAACGTCCTATTACATGCACTCGCATGCGTTGCCCACAAATTTGGAATAAATCGGCCAGACAAATCCTGAAGCTACTGTGGTCGACCAGGATACCACCTACGAGGGAAAGGAGCTTCGGCTGCGCCAGCAGTACTTCTTCGTGAGTGCTTCACTCCAGGACAAGAATCTGCCACCACTCGCTCAGTTGCTTCTTGTGAGCGCTGCTTAGCGACTCCCAGCCCTGAGCAGCCAGGTCCGGAAGATTTTGGCTTGCAAGTTTCTAAACCGAGCCATTCCAATTTCAGCGGACATGTGCACACCTCAGACTCCGAGATGCGACGTATCGTGAGCACAAGTTGGCCAGCTGGTGCCTTGAGCTGTGATCACCCACCGCTGCTAGTATTTGGGATGCAAGTCGACGTTTTGCAGATTCTTCCCCCATGCAGGACGTGCTCCGGGACTTTATCAAGCGGCCGAGCTACCAGTGGTCTGAGCTGCCCGAGAAGGCGACGTCAAGCAGAATTGCCTTTTGATGTGTGCATGCACTTGACGTAAGTGAAAGCAGCATATTTCGGGCTTTCATTGAGATCAAGTGCAGGTAGCCGTACAGATGAACGACACCCATCCAACCATCGCTGTGGCGGAGATGATGCGCTTGCTGGTGCCCTGGGGTTCTGCTTGAAAGTGCTTCAGTTCAAGCGGCACGGCTCTCACAGCATTCCTTTGCGCAGTTCTGGACCCTTAAACAACTTCTGACAAAAGCCTTCGGGGCAGGTTGACGTGCAGCAGATGGATTGGTACGAAGCCTGGGACCTCACCAGGCATTGAGCGCAAAATCGTCCCGTGAAGCATCACAGTGCCACAGCGAGTCGATGGTCAAACGTTGCAAGAGCTACTGGCAGGAAGTGCCTGAACTACACGAACCACACAGTCATGCCCGAGGCCATTTACGCCGCGTTGCAACCATGAAAGTGCGAGAGAACTTCGAGCGGGCGTTCTCATGTCTCATGCCCCGGTTGAAGGGCGTCGGCTTGGTCTGCTTTGTATTTTCCGCTGCTGCGTTGGCATGCGCTGGTTGCTGGGCCACATGCCAGGTTTTCGCTGCACTCTTCCCGAGGAATACAGAGTTAAGATCACACCATCGAACAGATTCAATCGCCAGCATGCGTTCGCGGGTCTGCTGAACGCCGAGAGTGTTGCGTCTTTGGTGCAAGCTGCAATTGCAACCTTTGGCCCCTTCCGGCTTCAGCCAAGCAAAGCTGTGCCTGGCAGGCTCTGGAGAAGTGGCCGGTGGAGATGATGGAGAGGATTCTTCCCCGACATGTGCAAATCATCGGAGAGATCCTGGGTTGCAAGGCCACTTCTCATTTCCTTCATTGCCGGCGAGGAAGCAACTACTGTACATGCTTCTCTCCGGTATGCATGGGTCCATATCACACTTCTGCTCATTCATGGCAACACCGAGGATTAACTGGGTCTGGATCGGCCAGTTGATAGAGAGGTGCTCTTGGTGTCTGCGACCTGCGATCTGTTCTTGGCAGCAGCATTCTTGGCAGCAGCAATGCAGACTTGCGGGGCGGCAGAGGTACGGCGATGGACCCATCATTCAGGCGCTGAGCATATTTGAGGCCAGCGGTGTTGGTCAGCAGTGGGAACAACAGGAAAAGACATGGCGAAATCATGCATTCGTTTCGCAATAGCAACGAGAACAGCACCGGCACCAGTAGCATCAGCAACAACAACGACACCAAAACAGCGACGATGAGGACAATGACAACCACAACACAACCTACAGCGGCCCCAACAGCCACAACCACAACCACAACAACAACAACAACAACAACACCAACAGCAACCACAACGGCAGCAGCAACAACAACAACAGCAACAGCATAAGCAACAGCCACAGCCACAGACACAGCAACAACAGCAAGAACAGCAACAACGGCAGCAGCAACAACGACAAAAACAGCAACGACAATTGAAAAGCACAGCAATGTCGAAACAGCAGCAACAAGAATGCTGCTGCTGCGGCTGCAGCTTTTGCAGGCCTCGCAGTCGTAGTTGACATCTTGAGCATAGTTGCTGTAGCAATCGTAATGGTTGCAGTTATGGTCCATTGAGAATTGTACCGTTTGTCCCTTTCAAGGCTTCGGCTAGTTTGCGCAATAGCAAGAGAAAGTTTACTTGGTAGGTCGCCATGTCGTGACCCGATGGTCAAGATTATGCATGGTCAGCAGCACCAGCACTAGGAGAATTCTTTCCTGTAGGCAGCATAGTACTCTTCTCTCGGAGATTTTTGGCAAAGGTGACCAAGAACTATTCATGATACTTGAGCTTGCCACCATCATCACCTGTTGCCATCGTCGTAGTCAAAAGATTTTGGAAGCAGTCAACGTCACGCAGCCATTGTCCCCTTCATAAAGGCATCGGTACTGGTAGCATGGTCTCTTATTCAAATCATTGCCTCAGCAACAAATCTAAGCAACTTAATGGCGGGCGCATCAGTAGCAAGGCCATGATAGATTCGCTGGAGTCGTTGCCAGGAAGGTGAGACGAAGAAGATCCGCATGGGAAACCTTGCCATTGTCGGGTCGAACAAGGTGAACGGTGTGGCTGCCATCCACACCGAGATCATCAAGAAGGATGTTATCCACTGGAAAAGATTGCACTGCTTGGTGACACGAAATAGTCACGAAATAGGTCGACTATGTTCCGCTACGGTGCTTGGGTTGTGCTCCGACGTCTTGCCTTTGACTGGCAGGAGACATTTCCCGAGTTTTATTGCTGGTGCTGCGACAACGGCGAGCCGAACAAGATAGTGCACTAGTCTGCCAGAGGGTTCGATGATGCTACGGGCATATGGGGTTTCTGGTGCCTCTTGCTACTAGCGAGAATGTGGAAACCGTGGTTGGTCATGTGAGCGAGTTTTACGCTCACATGAGATGCATCATCAGTTGGATTGACCAAAACCTGCAGTCTGCAATGCAGTCCTGGAACAATGCAAGAAGCACAGCTTGAATCCTGTATTGCAGATGGCAGTAGCGGGTCATCTGAGCATAACTCAAAATCATATCAGACATTTCATCATATTTTGCATAGCAATCGGGTAAGATAGAAACAGTACAGCCCGGACATATCAGAAGGTTTCTTGCAGCATTAAGTCAGCCGTTTGAAAACTCTCACACTGTCACAACAGCCCAACAGAAGGTCTAAGCAGCAAAGCATTCCGAAAGCCGAATCTCGCACCAGCCAATACTTGGGTATTGTGGTAAGATACTGTCCAACACTGGAACCAGGCCGCGTGATGGTCTGAGGATATTTCCGCATTTCTAGAGGAGCGCAGGGTGTGGTGTGAGAGGGAGGCAGCAGACTTAGAGCCCACGAGCCCAGAGCAAACCCTTAAGGCCCTTAGCCCGGTAGCGCCGAGCAAAAATAGTAGAGTTGCAAGGTGAACATGACGAACGGAGTCACCCCCCGTCGCTGGATTCACTGTGCAAATCCCGCGCTCAGCGGCATCTTCACCAAGTATCTGGGCTCCTGGGAGCATTGGTTCTAGTAGCTGTATGCTACGTGTATAGTTACATGAGGGCATGGTAGACATGATGTGTTTAGTCATGCTTTACTGTTGTGTGATGTTGATGTTGATGTTCACTGATGTAGTAGCAGTCGTCGTCGTTGCAATTGCTGTTGTCGGTGCCTTTGCCGTTGTCGTCGCCGTCGTCTTGGTGGTTGTTGTTGTTGTTGCTGCCGTACGGAGAATGTGTTAACCTCTAAGTGGACAGGTAGGCACGAGGTGCATGTAGCCTCTTCCCGGGTAGGAGAGGTTCCTCGGAGACAGTAATCCTCAGACTGCCATTTGGGCTCAGACACTGTTCGCAGCACGAAAAGTCCGCTCCAAATAGCAAGTAGTAGTAGTTGTTGTTGTTGCTGCTGCATCTGGTACTTCAGTATATAGCGGACTTTTGCAGTGTTCGAAGTTATCCAGCCTCAGGCGTGCTACAGGTTCCGACAGGTTTTGGTGTGTGTGTGTATGATAGCAACCGGACAATGCGGTAACACACGCACACACAAAGACACACACATGCGCGCACGCACAAGCTTTTTTAACTGCAGGCGCTGGATTACTTCGAATTCTTGCCTTCCTTCCGGACACCCTCAATGTGCACCCCTTCGTGTCACGTCGATAAACAAAAACCTACACGTATTCAAGCGTGCTGTTACCCTGCATGGACATGTGTATCTAGACAGTCATGAGGCCAAGGCTCGTAATGAGTCATGAAGCTGGCTCGAGAAGAGCCTTGAATTTCTTTGTTGCCACCACAAACCTCCCCTGACCTCGTCGAGCGCGGGTGCTGAAAACTCTAGACAATACATCTACACCCATCGCTCAGATGGCAGAGTTGCCTAGTAAGGTTTTAATGCCTTAAGACGCATCTCAACGGCTGCGCGCAAGCATTATAGGTCCGACTAGTGTATTTGCTCGGTACTGGCGTGAGGTGCCTATGCTTGTCGAAATGGAAGGTAGCTGCTGTCACTGGGGCACTCAACAACGTTTGGGTTGTACAGTTTTCATTTGTCTAACAGTTGTGTTGAAGCCTTTTTGGTTTTCTCGAGTATGTGTCTGTGCCCAAAACCCATGCATGCGAGCTTAGGTTCCCAGAAGTGGCTCACAGACCTGACCCTTCTGAAGGCGCTGAATAGTTCCAAGAGAAGCTACCACATCGAATGGGATAGTATCGTGCAGACGCAGTGACTCCAAATGCCCGCCACCTCACGAACAAGCAGCGACTAGCTGTGGCAAGCTAACAGGAGATGCTGCAGCACAAAGAGGACCCAAAGTTGCATGCAGAGCCGCTTGGAGCAAGTGCATGACCCGATTCCAGACCGCTTACATCGAAGCTGTGACACGAAGCTCCCTTTGCCCCATAGAAGCACCGATCTGCCATAGGCATCGTGTGCTAAAAAGGCCCAGGCCCAAGAGATCACGAATCACCAGACATCCACAGCTGCAGATGTGACATGCACATCTGTCTAGAAACTGATTCTTCGCTCTTGGAGTCAAGCATATGGAGATTGACGAACCATTACGCTGACGAGCACTTTTTACGATTGTTGCGATTGCCATGTTTCAAAGGCTTCCACCACAAGTTGAGCAGCACACGTCTGCAGCTTGCTGGTCTGTTCAGACCTCTGAGACTTCAGGTGGATGGCAATGAAGCGCAGGTGCAAGGCGAAACTGGCAGACTGGCTGCAGGCGACCCGGGCAAGCCAGATGACTCTTGGACGGGAGGCAATGTGCGTTTTGCTTGTGCAGGAGACAATGGACCTCCAGATTGACCAAGAGGCCCTCATCGACATCCAGAGCCAAGACAGCAAGAGGACTTTGCTGTCGCAACCTGGAAGGTGCGACGGCGTGTCGATGCTTCGCAGTCAGTGCTAGACGAGGGGTGGGTGAGCATCAGAGTATGTTTGCTTTGACCCAAAAATACATGAACGGGCACCTTCAGCAGCACTCCTGAAGTGAAGCTTGTATCTTCATTGTGGATTCGTTTTCGATGTTGAACTGCACAAGGCACGCGGCCCGACATCGTGATTCATGTTCCGTTGAGCATGGGAATTGTGACAGCCCTGATGATGTCCAATGTCACTTGCCTGCAGCCTTGTGGCTAACAACAGCACCCTACTTTGGTGACGCTGACCGTCGCCATGACGTCTTCCTGCAAAGCAGTAGATGCGTGGATGCAGCACCCGACGAAGCGCTTCATGACTGATGACATCTTCACTTCGCTGCTGCGATGGAATCGCCTCGACCCTGTTCAGTTCCAGCAAGAGGAACATCCGATTTACTCCACGCAGATGTCCTTGAGCAGCATGGATTCAGGACTTGTGGAGGCAGGCCTTATTAGCGCGTGGTACAGTCCACAGGGGCCAATGATCTCCAACGAGGAGCTGCTCAGCATGAAGCGAAACAGACTACTGCAATAATGGGCCTCAGGTTCAACAGGTAGTGCGAGTGCCGCTGCAAGAGTCACCGCTGCGGCCAGGATGTGCGGAAGGCCTGCGCAGCCCACCCTGGTCGCTTCTTCGGTGTTGCTTCTGGAGACATTCGCGATCCCGTGCGTTGCGTGCAAGAGATTCGAAATTTTGCCACCGGGCAGGCAGTGGCAGTGTTAGGGTTTCGGAGGATTGGTTTAGGCCACAAATCTATGGTTTCCGCTCTGTTTCCGCCAGTCATGTGCAGCTATGGTGACCGTATTCTGCTCAGGTCCAAAATCATGGCTTCGTGGCAGTGCGAATTCTGCCGTGGCTGTGGCAAAAGTATGCCAACGACCCTTTGTTCTATCCGATATACACGGCGTGTGTCGAGCTGGGCGTGCCGTTGTGCTTGCAGGCCGGCATGTTGCATATCACTGGTAGTGGTGGTAGTAGTTGTCGTAGTAGTAGTAGTAGTAGTAGTAGTAGTAGTAGCAGTCGTAGTCGTAGTCGTAGTCGTGGTCGTAGACGTAGTCGTAGTCGTAGTCGTAGTCGTAGTAGCAGTAGTAGTAGTAGTAGTAGTAGTAGTAGTAGTAGTGGTACTAGTACCGTTACTGGTACTGGTACTGTCAATAGGTTTTCTGCTGA